AAAGTTTGAAAAATATCGCATTAGTTATTTTGAGTATTGGAAGGCATAAATAATTAATAATATATATGTCGAAATAGTTCACGCATACATTTTCTATGCGAGACGAGTTGTCACATGAGTTCGTGGCGTGCTTTACGAGCTCGTTTAATTGTAAGTATAATAGAGGTGGTATTAAACAAGATAAGTTAGTCGATCATCTGTGTGAATATTTGTGGCAATAAACGAGCTCGTTTAACCCTTACGGAAAAAACTATTGGAATGCTAATAGTAACTATTGAAATGATAATAGTAATTATTAAATGCCAATAATTATAAGCAGTGATTACTACTGCAATGCTTACTGTAATACTGGTCACAAGTAGTGTCCACTACGCAATTATTACTATTGACCAGTGCAAATTATTAGAATGTAACAGTAAATACTACTGCCATTAGTGCAAAAATTTAACAGTATACACTGTTATACTAATCATTCAACAGTGCGAATTAATAGTGTGCAGAAGTTTGCAATATTAAACCAAATAGTGCACATTCTGTATGGTGCAGAAGTATATTTCCGCCATGGGTGCACACATGAAAGTTTAATTGGTATATATATATATATATATATATATATATATATATATACCTAGGTTTCCTTATTTTTGTCTAGTGAGGCCCTTGTAAGGATTTGATATAAGGATGTTTTAACTTCTTAAATACTTATTTATTAAGGCTAACCGGATGTAGGTCCCGATCATTATTTATTAGGGATGCCATAAGAAATGTTTTCTTATTTTTGTCTAATAAGGCCCTTGTAAGGATTTGATAAGAATGTTTTAACTTTATAAATATACTTTTTTCATAAATATATTTACGAACACAAAATTTCATAATAAGCCGGCACTGGTTTCTGACATTCACTCGACATTAAGAAATATTATATCATATATCCAATTCAAAATTTTATTACTCTTTTTTAACTAAATTTGTTTCTTAAGATGATTTTTGAAAAATTATATATTTGCGCTGGTTATGACATATGTAGGCTATATACATATAACGCTTACATCAAATTAAGAAGTGGTCTACCACATAAGGCAGTTGGCTCACGATGCAGAGGTCCCGAGTTCGAATCCCACCAAGGTAAGTGTGTTTTTCAAATACGAAAAAATATTTATAATCATAGACTGCATCTTAAGAAACAAATTTAGTTAAAAAATAATAATAAAATTTTGAAATAAATATAATCTTATTATTTTTTTTTTTTTTACAGTGTTGCGCATTTCTTGCACGGTTTTTGAGGACAATTTGTCGTCGGACAGCGCTACGCAAAGCTTGCTCGGTTTTTGCCGATTATTTGTCGTCAGACAGCGCTATGCAAAGCTTGCTCGGTGTTTGTCGACAATTTGTTGGCAGACAACGCTAGACAAAGCTTGCTCGGTATTTGCCGACAATTTGTTGGCAGACAACGCTACACAAAGCTTGCTCGGTTTTTGCTGCCAATTTGCTGTCTGGTTATGTACACAGGCTTTGCTAGCAAAACACGAGCTTAAAGATGACACAGATGGCACCGGATTTGACACCAATTAATCTTTGAACGAATTTGATGCCATCTTGGCGACAATTTGCTATCAAATTGCTTACTGGGTTATTCTAGTGAATAATCTGAGAGAAATTGTCTACAATCTAGGAAGCCATCCAAATGTCGCATCGCGCGAAATCGAACAAAGCTGATTCAATCTTATTGATTATGCTCGTTTCCTGATTCTCGACACTAGCCATTAATTCGGTGACGTAATGCAAAATAATATCGCGCACAATTCGAGAGATACATCTGGCTTTTGTTTTCATGGAAGTGTGAAATAGATTGATAACTAATAATGTTACGAACCGAGATAAAACCGCGATGATTAAGTTTCTATTAATGAAACTAAATTCGAGGTACGATCGAGCGATCATATCGAAGCTTCAGATACATTTGATCAATTGTTGATGCTGTTGTACATTGCGCACATGCCTTAATTATAATTAGGTTTTGCTTTTTTTTATTGTGTGCCAAATAAAGGAAAATGAAAATTAAAAGATAAAGAAATTATCTATAGAAAAATACAATTAAACATTAAAATCAAAAGTTATATTAGCGCAATTAGAAATTAGGATATTCTATATAATAACTCAAGTTGTTGTAAAAGTTGCAATCTCTAACATTTTTCATGATGAAATAAAGCTATGACAATTACCTACACTTATAAAAGGAAAATTTGAAATAATTTGCAAAAGAAAATATCTAACAATATTACCTAATGTAAATTGTTATCTACTGGATATGTTTTTATTCTTTCCTAACGTTATTTATTTGTACATAAACTTATTAATTGTTAATTGAATTGTTGAACCTTGGTGGCCTAATTCGAGTTGCTCTTTGTTATTCTGCCTCTTAAGTACGGACAGCAGAAACGACATAAGAATTCGAATAATGTTTATAAAAAATTTAAAGAAAAATCTTCTGGATGATATTGGAGATATTTTTTTAACATCTGTATGACATTTGTCACAGTTTCTAGAATGCGAAAGAGCATACAAAGAGTAAACGAATAAATTGGAATTAATTAGCCTTCAACTTGTCCCTGAACTAACATTGATGTTGTGTCTTGTATAGTTTGAAAACTCAACTTACGCGCATAGATGCCGATAATCAGTAACGCCAGAGACTTGAGGAACACCAGGAAGGTCGACGTCGACATCCCCGACGGATTATTCAACTTTGTTGTTATTAACTAAGTACCAAGAGATGATTACAGCACACTTTAATAACGAAGACTCGGTCGGTCTCAGCAGTTCCTTTCGTTTTATGATTGTCTTGCCGATGACCAGGACATCAACTGACGATAGTATTCATGATAGAGTGACCAGAGCCAGGGTCAACAACTGTCCCCACCACCGCTGTTAATATGCTTCGCCAAGCTAATTAGCAGGAGCGGACTGATCGGGGAAAATTCCTATTTCTGTTATCTGAATAAAACTACAGATGTATTTCGAGGAAAAAAGAATAAAATTGTAGAGCAGAACTTTTTCAATAATTATATTTCGAATAAGTTTTCAGTTTTTATAAAAATGTATTATATATTGCCTGTAATAATTATTATATATTAAGTATTGGAGTATGTGTTATTTGTAACAACATTTTATTACATATACTTATCATATAATTATATACATTAGTTATAACAACTGCAACACAAGATTTTCTAATTTTAATATTATTTAAAAATATAAAATTAGTTATAATATTACAGAATATCAAATAATAATATCAAAATTAATATAAGATTATTATCATATTGATATTGTTACGAATATTACGCCGATCCTTTCAAGTCTTGGTTCATTGGGGCTTCCCCTGTAAACTTTAATTCCTCCTTACTCAACTAATAGGAATTTTCCTTGTTATTTTTTTCTTGCTTTCTCGCCATCGGCATAAATTTACCATAAATAATCGGCTTCCCTTCGTCTATATAATTTTGTATAATTTAAAATAGAACTTGTGCATATTTACAATAATTATATAAAATTTAATCGATTTTATTTGTTCGCAACTTCAATTTATCGTGAATCTATATATATATATATATATACATACATACATACATACATACATACATACATATATATATATATATATATATATATGTATGTATGTATGTATGTATG